ATACTTTTACATTTTTATCGGTCACTAGCTGACCCGGCAGACTTCGTAGTGCCCCAAAAAATAGGAGTCTGTCCAACGGGGGACACATCAAAAGAAAAACTTGTTATTTTTATTTAATTCCGAGTATTTTCATATTTATTTAACTTTTGAACCATCTTTGGACTTCCACAAATATTTCAAGACCAAAATTAGCCAAATCGGTAGAGCCGTTCTCGAGTTTTGGCGAGACTAACGAACAGCAATTCATTTATATATATATATAGATTATTGACTACGAAAACTGTAAAGTATTTGAAATGCCGAATGATTTTATTAGGTTAATTAAAATTTTCACATAATTAAACAAGTCAATCGTGGTTGCATTAGTTACTATCGTCGCTTTAACTAATAAAGGTAATTAATACTGGTGACAGGACCTCTTGTGAGTCCGCACGGGACCACAATCCTGCCTATTTCAGCCGTGAAACAGTAATGCGCTTCAGTTTGAAGGGTGACGCAGCCGTTGTAACTATACTGAGGCCTTAAACCCATATCTCAAGGTAGGTGGCGGCATTTACGTTATATGTGTATGGGCTCCGGTAGCCACTTAACATCAGGTCGGCTGTGAGCTCGTCCAACGATAAATGCAATAAAAAAAGTAAAAAAAAACCTGTGTGGGTTAACATGCTGTGACCACCAGAGACTGTGGATGAGCATTTCAGAACTATACTTATGGAAATGTGACACATCATAAATCGCAGTATGCTAATTAGCCAATAATTAATTACGACTGGTACGGCAATCCTATCGCCTATATCATAAATTGTCGATGAAGTGTAATGTAGGGAAACAAGCATTTTGATTTAACATTACTGATTTGACAACGCCATTAATAGATTGTGTCATACGGTAGTATAGGATGTTTTTCTAATCACCTTTAAGACGATTTTTTTAAAGTACAAAACAATATGAATTTTATTTGTTATTTAATATGATTTGCTCATTTCCGATTGAATACAATTTGATAAATGTGAAAAAAATAGTGAAAATTGTGAAATTTATTTACAAAAATTATGTTCATATAAATCATTGTTAAATAAGTAATTAAAAAGGGTAGTGCGATAGAGGCACCCGTCACGTGCGGACGTGCTCATCGTCCACTCGATCGCCCGGTCTTTGTTCGCCCGGCTTTTGTTAGCCCGGCCATTGTTCGCGCGGCCTGTGTTTGTGGTACATCTGCCGACTAAGTGCTCTTTCTGGAAGTTTTTATTTGTTTTGTTTCCTTTTGTTGTTTCTGTGTTCGTGGTACATCTGCCGACAAAGTGGTTTCCTGCAAGTATTTATTTGTTTTGTTTCTTTTCGTAATTTCTGTTTTGTTGTGCTTTTTCTTTGTCCTGTAGTAATCGCGCCGCATTGCCACCTGTGTTCAATAGAACCGCTCAGGTCCGAGAAGTTGGGGCCTCGCCGCAAGGCGAGTGTTTTCAAGACCCGGGGCCGCCCCACCTGGGTACTCAGCGATCATGGACGCTGTATTCGCGGAATTCCTCCGACTTCGCCACCCACAGCTCGCCTCGGAGTTTTTGGCCTTCAAGGCCAATCACACTGCGAGCCCTCTCGAGGACTCCGCCGCGCTCGCTGCTCCTGCGTCGCCTGTACCTGCGTGCAGAGCTTCTGCATTGAGCACCGCAGCCTCTGTCGTGCCTGCCGCTCCCGTGTCGCCTATACTGGCGAGAAAAGCTGCTGCGTCGTCCGCCGTGACCATCGTTTCAGCTGAGCGATCATCCGCGGCCTCCGTCGCGCCCTCTAAAACACCTACACTTGCTCGTAGGTCGCCTGCACCCGCCTCCTCGTGCTCCGACTCTGACTCGGACATGGAGGT